AACTTCCTCTAAAAACTTTATAAGAAAGTTAGGGGATAATGTTTTAAAAATGTTATGATTAAACCTTTATAGAAGGTCATCACAAAACATTTTCAGAGTGTTCTTAGAGAATGTTATGCCATCTTTTAAGAGAACATTCTGGGAACAAAAAGAAAACTACCCGCTGAAAATGTTATAAGAACGTCAGGGAACAATGTTCTAACAATGTTAGCACTAAACATATTTAGAATGTTTTTAGAGAATGTTATTAGAACTTTTAAGAGAACATTCTGGGAACAAAAAGAAAACTACCCGCTGAAAACATTATTAGAACACTGCATGGTAATGTTCTCAGAACATTTTTAGAACAAAAAAATTCTAGCTGCTTCCACTCGCATGCGCCCCGGGTCTGACTGATTTAAAGGACAAGTTCGGTATTTTACAATTAAAGCCCTGTTTTAAGATCGTTTCTGATTAAATAGAATGGTTAGGATTGTTTTTTAGACATGCTGCTGTCACGAGATTTTTTGGCACTGGGACAATCATTCATAAAAACGCATAAAACTTTAGTTTACAAAGACGTGACACTCACCGAGTGGTCTGGGGTGTTCACTGATATGCTCACACAAAAATCGCTGCAAAAGATGCTTTCCAACAGGTTTTATCGTAGTTTTTGTCCATCTCCATTGACTTGTATTGTGTGTTCTGTGATGTCCGTTATTACTCCGCTGCCTGGAAACGGAAATGGGCCTTGTTTGTATTCTTTCTGTAGTCTTATGCAGTCGCGTGCATAGGTCGCGTGGTCCGTGTACGTTTTGATAGTTTGTTTTTTGGTTTGAAACAAAAAACAAAATAACGAGAAACCACCCTTTTTTTGTTTTTCGTTTCAAACCAAAAACAAAGAAACCGTAAAAAAAGAGTCATTTTCCCGTTTTTGGTTCTGAATCCAAAAACGAAAAAAACAAAATCAAATAGCGGTCCGATTTTGTTTTTTTGAAATTCCTTTTTCCATTTTTCCGTTTGAAGATCTACATTAAAACACGGACAGGTTGGTCCATGAATGGTCCGGGTATCGTTAGTTTATTTGTTTTTGCTTTCATATATGAAAATGAAAAAACGAGAAAACAACTCCTTTTTCGTTTTTTCTGAAAAACGAAATTATGACTTGATGTTTGGTTTTCCCGTTCTTGCACAGAAATCAGAAAAACACCTTGATATTCCAATTTTCCCCTGTGGGTGGGGCTACATCTGTACGTTTTGATAGTTTGTTTTCCAGTTTGAAACGAAATAAGCAGAAACGAGAAAATGGCTCTTTATTCGTTTTTTAGTTCAAAGACAAAAAAACTAATAAATGACTTAAATTCGTTTTCTACACGTGGGCGGTCCTGAAACGCCCCCTTCCGCCGATTGGTCAAGCAAATCTGAGCATGTGACGTCATCAGCCGTCGCTCCGGTCTGTTCAACAAAATAATAGTCCTAAAAAATTTAAAAAAAAATAGTCCTCTATATGGTTACCGATTCTTAAACTGTACAGGGCAGGTCATATTGGGCTTTCTTCAGTGCAACTTAGGTCCGGGTATCGTTCGTTCATTTGTTTTTGCTTTCATATATGAAAACGAAAAAACGAGAAAACAACTTTTTTCGTTTTTCTGAAAAACGAAAAAACGAAATTATGACTTGATATTTGGTTTTCCGTTCTTGCACAGAAATCAGAAAAACCACTTGATATTCGAATTTTCCCCTGTGGGTGGGGCTACATCTGTACGTTTTGATAGTTTGTTTTCCAGTTTGAAACGAAATAAGCAGAAATGAGAAAACGGCTCGTTTTTTCGTTTTTTCAAAAAAAAAAAAAGAAAAACGAGATTTCGGCTTGATTTTTCGTTTTTTTTAGTTCAAAGACCAAAAAACGAATAAATGACTTCAAAATTCGTTTTCCACACGTGGGCGGTCCTGAAACGCCCCCTTCCGCCGATTGGTCAAGCAAATCTGAGCATGTGACGTCATCAGCCGTCGCTCCGGTCTGTTCAACAAAATAATAGTCCTAAAAAATAAAATAAAAAATAGTCCTCTATATGGTTACCGATTCTTAAACTGTACAGGGCAGGTCATATTGGGCCTGTTTGGTGGGCCCAATATGACCTGCCCTGGGTCATATTGGGGGGGGGTTCCAATATGACCCAGGAACCCCGTTCTGTTTGGTTCATATGGTATTCAAATACAAATATATTGTTGTGACTTGCCACCACAACTACCGAGTTTTTTTTTTTTTTCGTATTAATAGACTGTACATCTAAACGCCACCTACCTATATTGCAAAGCTGGGTGTTTGTTCATACATTTCATCAGATGCCTAAACGCCTCATCTTGTTGGTTTAAATAAAATAAATAAAACAATTTGACATTTGCTCTCAATTTTTTTTCCTTCAAAAACCTCTTCATTTTGCAGGATAATTGTCTATTACGGTATACAACGAAGCGTGCAATGTGGTCATGTAGCTACAACACGCTTTAAGAAAAGTTTATTTTCATCACACAGTAAAGTGATCTAGAGGAAAAGCAGATGTGTTTCGCCGCATACATATTACGTGTGTTTGTTTTTATTTATGTTGTATTATTACACTGGGTCACCAACTAAGGACAGATTGAAATCATTGCAAATTAACACATCCTTCTTGACTTGTCAACCGATGGTATTTAAGAAGCCTTTAACATTATTTGCTCAACATTAAATCTGTAACATAGCCAACATTCAGAATTGTGTCGGCAGGGAAATTTCCGCATTGATTAGTCTCACAACACGCAGTCTCATTAAGCTCTTCTGTAGATTTTGATCTTTATAAGTTATGATGATATATTGTTAATTACAAAACAACAATAAAATAGTACAATAATATAAAAAAGTTGCATATTCTATAATCAAACTAATTAGCCTAGATCTGGTGACATATAACGTTACCCAATATTATAACAAATAAAATATATTTGGAAATCGCTCTAAACGAAGACTCCGTTTGTGGTTCCCAATTATTTGATTAAAAATAATAAGACAAAGTAACTTAAACACTTTTAAATTGTGTATTTGTTAACTGAAGTTATATTGCGCTTTTAATTGTCTCCTTTATCGTCCTGTCAATCATCGCGGGTCGCCGCTATGATGACAGTAGTTTCAGTAGAAATGTATTTCACCATCGTCGGTGCCCACCCTCAGGCGATTGGCATTACAATATTTGCTATCACAATTCCGTGTCTAAATGGAGTTTACTGTCTAAAAAAAGTTCTGACTGCTTCGCCGCTGTCAAGCGCTTCACCAAACAGAACGGGCTGTTGGCAGACATTCATGTCTGAAGTAAAGATTTCTGTGAAACGCGTTAAGTTGCACAGAAGAAAGCCCAATATGACCTGCCCTGTACAGTTTAAGAATCGGTAACCATATAGAGGACTATTTTTATTTTTATTTTTTAGGACTATTATTTTGTTGAACAGACCGGAGCGACGGCTGATGACGTCACATGCTCAGATTTGCTTGACCAATCGGCGGAAGGGGGCGTTTCAGGACCGCCCACGTGTGGAAAACGAATTTTGAAGTCATTTATTCGTTTTTTTGTCTTTGAACTAAAAAAAACGAAAAATCAAGCCGAAATCTCGTTTTTCTTTTTTTTTTTTGAAAAAACGAATAAACGAGCCGTTTTCTCATTTCTGCTTATTTCGTTTCAAACTGGAAAACAAACTATCAAAACGTACAGATGTAGCCCCACCCACAGGGGAAAATTCGAATATCAAGTGGTTTTTCTGATTTCTGTGCAAGAACGGAAAACCAAATATCAAGTCATAATTTCGTTTTTTCGTTTTTCAGAAAAACGAAAAAAGAAGTTGTTTTCTCGTTTTTTCGTTTTCATATATGAAAGCAAAAACAAATGAACGAACGATACCCGGACCTAAGTTGCACAGAAGAAAGCCCAATATGACCTGCCCTGTACAGTTTAAGAATCGGTAACCATATAGAGGACTATTTTTTATTTAATTTTTTAGGACTATTATTTTGTTGAACAGACCGGAGCGACGGCTGATGACGTCACATGCTCAGATTTGCTTGACCAATCGGTGGAAGGGGGCGTTTCAGGACCGCCCACGTGTGGAAAACGAATTTTGAAGTAATTTATTCGTTTTTTTGTCTTTGAATTAAAAAACGAAAAATCAAGCCGAAATCTCGTTTTTCTTTATTTTTTTGAAAAAACGAATGAACGAGCCGTTTTCTCGTTTCTGCTTATTTCGTTTCAAACTGGAAAACAAACTATCAAAACGTACAGATGTAGCCCCACCCACAGGGGAAAATTGGAATATCAAGGTGTTTTTCTGATTTCTGTGCAAGAACGGAAAACCAAATATCAAGTCATAATTTCGTTTTTCAGAAAAACAAAAAAAAAAGTTGTTTTTTCGTTTTCATATATGAAAGCAAAAACAAATGAACGAACGATACCCGGACCGTGAATTAATTTATTTATCACAGCAAAACATTCAAGGGTGAATCCATGGGCTGGATTTGTACCAAAACTCTATTATCTTCAATCAGGACAGAGAAATCAAGGAGCAGAGAGCAGGAGACAAAGTGATGGGAAAAAATGAGAAAAGTTGGTTTATTGAATAATCTTTGTTGCATATGTTCAGTGCTCACACTTTATTGTTTTTCAATGTCTTGACTAGTACAAATCCAACCAGAATTATTATAGCCAAGTAGCAACAGCAATGGAAAATGACTGCTTCACAACATCGTCCTGTGATGTTTCACATTCTCTTATCTCTTATTCATGAAGACAAACATCAATGAAAGCACACAACCATAAGAATAAATAGCAATAGCAAGCATTGCAAGAGCAGGAAAATATGTAATATTAAATATAAAAACATAAAATGATAGAAATTAATGCAATTTTTAATTGATGTAAATCCAATTATAATAATATGAATAAATGATACAATTATGTAAATCAAATAATAATAATATGAATAATAAATGATTGAATGATAAATAAAATGACAACTACATAAATGACTAATGATTATAAGTGAAAACCAAAGACAAAGAAAACAAAGAAATTAATTAGACAACACAAAGTTTGCTATTTAGACTTTTTTTTAGATATGCATAAATGATCCAAGCTCTGAATAGCATTGTCTTGTGTGTGATTTCTCCATTCAGGTGGAATCTCACCAGAACCCTGGAATGTTGCATTATAATATTTTTCCAGATCTTTCTGGAATCTGCACACAAACCATTTCCAGTAGGACAGTGCAGAGTCATCAGGGGTGATGCTCCACTTCGCATAAACTCCTCCTGCGCTTCTGTATTCTTTATATGGAAACGACTTATCAGATACATGAAATCTTTCATTACTTGTTACTAAAGTTGTGCAAAAATTAACACAGAGATTATCTGTGTTACGCCTATGCCATCCATTTATTCCATCAACTCGATGGAAAGGAACACTGTGATCTCCATCATGGTTTTCTATGGTGTTGGTGCAGATGGCTGTACAGAACGGACACTGAGCCCAACAGCACTGACAGAAGTGATCAATCAGAAGCTCATCTGGTCTGTCTTTATTGTCCAGCTTTACTGGAAAAGTCTCTGTGAATCCTCTGCTGATGTCCGATATTATAGCGGGAAGTTCTTTCTTTATCACATCTTCTAGGAGTTTCACATCAACATCATCATGTTTGACTCCACTGAGGTCTTTTTCAGAGAAGATCAGCACGTCTGAGAGCCGCTGTGTGAAACTCTTCAACCACAATCCAACATCTCCTTTATTCTCTTGAACATGTTCAGTTGATTCATGTGCTGCTTCCATGATCTTCTGCTGCAGGAGTTTTATGTTCTTCTCCATCTTGGGTAAAACACTGACACTGAACTTATCAGTGATGTACCAACTGACTTCATCTCTGATGAAACCTTTGAAGTGATCTCTGGGATTATGAATGTAGTTCATGTATTTTTCAAAATCCCCCTCTTCTGCCAGTGTCTTCAGGATGTATTTCTCCAGGTTTGATCTGTTTCCATTCAGTGATTCACAGTTTGATCTCATTTCATCAGCCAGATCTCTGGCAATCTTCTTGTAGACACTCTGCTCAATGGGCTCTTTCAGTTTCTGACAGATGATTTCACCAAAAATAGCAGCCGATGTTGATCCATGACAGTATTTCTGGAAAATACTATAGTACTCTTCTCTCTTCTTCTTAAAATATATTACAGGATCATTGGCGTCCCTGAATAGTCCGTGTTGGGCAGAGATCATCGTGTTTGCTCTCTTGAAAATGGAAAGAACCAAATCCCTGAAGAATTCATGCTTGAACTCATATCTCACTGATCCTTCCTCATGTTGTACTATGCTTACCTTGATGTAATCTATGAGTTGTTGAATGCAGCTCTTGTTGTAGCCCAACTTTGAAATGTTAAATGATTGAATCTCTTTGTTTGTATGCTGATCAATGTCTGTGACTAATGCTCTTATTTGAACTTCATCCTCTTTAGTTAGAGAACCGCAAACAAATGTTTCAGCTGATCTGTAGACATATGTTAACAATCCACTTGATTTTTTTACCTTTACATAATCCGAAAAACTGGACACAGAGAAAGGATCTCTGCTCCTCATCCTTTGGTCCTCAGAAACACTTTTATAGGTGTCACTGAGGATCTCTCTCACATCTCTCATTATATCAATATCTTTGATTGCAGGAGTGTTTGAATTAATCTTCTTCACACACTGTTCCCAAAACAGATCAAACTCTTTCTTCAGTGTTTTTTCATCTTTAGCTTTGAGTTTTAAGGCAAGTTCTTTGCTCTTTTCATAGAGAGTGTTTTCTTGATGTGTCCTCTGAGCATCAATCTTTTTCTTCAGGTCTCGCTGCTGAAGAACCTCATTTAATTTCCTCTTGGTTTCTCTCACGATGTTTTCCTGAAGCTCCTTGATTTTGATTTCAAATGATGTTTTCCACTGAATCAGTATATCTTTATCTTTGTCTTTCTCAAAGAATCCAGACATTGATTTTTCCACTTCTTCTTTTGTCTTCTTCAGTTCTTCTTGCAGACCAGTTTCTTCAACCTCATGAATTGTTTCATTTTCTATTTTGTTGTGTAGTTTGTTCTCAGTTTCCTTCATGGCACTGCGAAGACTCCAGGTCCACTTGCTATATTCGGTCTCCAGTTTCCTGTAGGCTGAAATCTCCAGAGAATTTCTGAAGCTGAAGACGAATCGTTCATGCAGTAAAGCCTCCCAGAGATCTTTAATACGATCTTTTAAGCCTTTCAGCATAAATCCATGTGAATTTGAGGCATGAGACAATATAGTTTGCTTTAGTTCTTGAATGTTCTCGCAATAGTTTGGGTTTGGTGGTGCCATCGGTGGGCTTCCTTCCCAGAGCTGAGCAAAATACTTCACATCATTCTGAACATCAAATCTAATGACATCACTGAAACATTCTTCATCACAGACTTCCTCTTTAGCAGCGAGTTTTGTCATCTCATCCAGTGTCTTCTGAAGTCGTCTCCTTCCCTCCATGTTTTTCTCTCCAGCTGTGACGTCTGAGACGTTCTGATGCACAAACACACAGCTGGGATTCAGTCTGACCTTCTTCATCCTCATGAAGGCCTGAACAACAATCTGAAGAATGTCCTGCATCTCAGATGGGTTTTCTCCAAAGATGTTGATCAAGGTCAGATTTCCAAGACCAACAACAAATGTGGCCAGTTCATTGTCATGATGTCTTGTTGATCTTCCAGTCAGTTCTAGAGCACGAAGACCCTCAGTATCAACAACCAGAATATAGTCAAAGTTCATCTGTGTCTTCATCTCGTCTGAGACTTTGACCAGCTGCATGAAAGCTCCTCTAGTGCACCTGCCAGCACTGACGGCAAACTGGAGTCCAAACATGGCGTTCAGCATGGTGGATTTCCCAGAGCTCTGAATCCCTAAAACTGACAGCACAAAGACTCTCTGGTCTCCCAGTTTCTGGATGAGTTCATCTAGAACAGCAGAGATCCAGATCACAGGAACATGAGCAGCATCTCCATCCATCAGCTCCAGTGGAAATCCAGAGATCATCATCTGTGCTGCAAGACTCGGGAGAAAAGACAAGTGAACCTGCAGATCTTTCTTGTTCTTCTTCACAGATGAACATGATTCATAGATCTGACCGATCTCCCTCATGATGTGCTCCAAACCAAAGGCTGCAGCTTGAAGATCCTCAGATATTTTCTCAAGTTCTGCTTGTTCAGTTGTGAGGTGTTCAGATTTTTCATTGTTCTCTTTTAGTTTTAAAACTGATGACCATGTTTTATCATATTTATGATGTAGAGCAGAAAGGTCAGCTGATGTATGTTCATCCAGGAAGACACTGAGCCATTTGAAAAAAAACATCCTTTCACCTTCAGAATGTGAGTTCATTGTTTTATGAAAGCGAGTCATAAACTCACTGATGTCGGATTCATACTGTTGTTTACGGATTTTCTTCATTTCTGTTTTTATTCTACTTTTTTCCATTTCTATCATTTCTCCTTGAGGTCGATGTAGTTCTTTGTTCTTCTGACTCCACTGATGCCACAGTTTCCCCTGATGAGGCAGAAATGAGTCTTTGATTTCTGTCAGATGTTTATCCTTCAGTAAACTCATCATCTGCTGGGCTGCTTCTCTTCCTCTCCTGCAGTCTTCTTCCTCATCTACTCTGATGTCTGAGTGTTTGGAAAAATATTCAAGTCTGAAAGTGGAAGATGATTCTGAGAGACACTCATTTATAGCTCTTCTGAGTTCTTCAGATACATCTGACTGATTTCTGTCCTTCAGGCCAATCTTGAATTTCCCTTTCTTCATCTTCACTAAAGAATATTTATCCTCCGTAAAAAGACAAATAAGTGGCTTTTTGATTCTGATCAGGTTCTGGATCTTTTCTGCACTTCTGTCATTTTTCTGAAGTTGTGGTAAAAGAACAACATTGACTGAGGCCATTTCAGTGAGGATCTTCAGTTGTTTCTCATGATCTCCTGCATCACCGTGTAGATTACAGAACACAACACAGTCCGTGAATTTATCCGTGTTTTTCCCAGAGGGGCAGAACCAGGCGATCTCCACCACTCCATCCATCAGGACTCTGGTTCTGCTGCTGCCTGGACAGTTCCTGTGGAAGAACGTGTTGTGTTTCTCATTGATCAGACTGTTCATCAGCTGAGACTTGGATGAAGACACAGAGCCAAACCTGAAGAAAAACACCATTGGAGTTTCTGTCTTGTAGATCGGCTGGGTTTTACTGATCATCTCATTGTTGGTGGTTCTCGTCTTCCAGCTCTTGTTGATTTGTCTGAATGTCCAGAGAGGAAACTCAATCTGTTGTGTGTCTGGATCAGGAACAAGCAGAGGCAGAGCGTACTGACACTGGGACAGTTTAGTGACCATCAACTGCTTCAGGAAACCATCAGCACAATGAAACACGGCCATCTGAACATCCATTGGGTGAACGCGATCAGATTGACTGGGTCCAGTGTTTGACAAAGAAGTTGTGTTGTTAAGAAAAGAGTCCAAAATATCAGCCTCATCTTCATCGTCAGCCTCATCTTCATCGTCAGTATCTCTTTGTTGTATTTGATCATGTTCATTAATGTCTTTAACACTGATGTATCTTGCTCTGTAGTTCATCATCAGTAGTTTGTGTATGAAAGTCTGACTCAGTTTCTCTTCAGCACAAGACTCATGGGACTGTAATGAATGTTCAGTTATCTGAAGAACATCTGCAGCTCTTAGTTTATTTTGCCACCTGTCTTCCAGATGAATTCTGTGAAATAGTTGCTTTATTTTATCTTGATCCGCATTGACTCCTGCAGTTCCAGCATCCTTATTTTCTCTCTGTTTAATTGATAAAACAACATCTGATTTAAACAGAACTGATATTCCATTTGAGGTTTTTACATTTCAGAATCATTTAATAGTGAATTTGAATCACATTTGAATCACTGCAAAAAAACACTATCAGTGTAACTGCAGATTATGAAAACATTATAATCAGATTGTCTAAATGTGTTTTTTTTACTATATATGGATTTAGTTCTACACTCTTCTCTGAACACTCGCCTGAACTGAATTATCTGTTTCAGGGCAGATCTTCTTCACCTCGTTCTTCACCCTGTTTTCATAACCGTCTCTGTTTACACCTGGAAATGACATAATGCATGGTTGATCTGATCACAAGACTTCAGGCAAGACAGACAGATGTTCCACTTGGTTTTAATGTGCGTCTCTTATTGTGACTAGAGATTAGCCGATGCTGTTTTTTTTCTAAATAATTTTTTTTTCTAAATTCTAAATGTCTATTTATAAATTATTTGTATGTTACTTTTCAGAAAAAAGATTTGCAGAACCAATGTTGGGTTTTATTTCTGTTTTTGACAAAAACAAATAAAAACTTTGATTTTAGCATTTCATTTTAATGCTAATAACCCAAATAATGCATTTGCACAAGATTGATGGTTATAAATGCCAGACATAAAGACAAGTCTACACAAATTGTTAAATGCTCACTTTGTGTTGATTATGCCATCATCAATAAGGAGCTGATGACAACCGATCTTACTTTTTCTTGGCTGTCTCTGCCACAACAATGGGTGGTATACAAACACACAGTTACAACAGCTAAAGTAAAAAAGTACTGGGACCAGGAGCCCAACAAAAGCAAACACTGATCACCGCAATGGTAATTTAAAATTAAACAAATAACTTCAATGCCTCGTCTAAACAATGTTAGGAAATTACATTGGAATAAACATGAGTTTTTTTTTTTGTTGTTTTTTTTTTTTTAATGCATCCCTGAGTGTTTATTTGGTCCAGAAACAGTATACATTGCCTAAATGTCACCATTAATATAATGTTAAAAACATGTCCACAATGGCCACATTTGAACTAGTTTTTAAACTTGTTCGAAGGTTCGATTAACGTCTAAATCAGACATGCAGAACACGTAAAAAAAAGGCATCATAAAAACTTTCATTCCGGCTCCTCAGTGGACGTCTTTTCAACGTCCGACTTTTGTGATAAAGACGTTGAAAAGACGTCTTTTTGACATAATTTTGCTTAGTGGGCAGAGGTGGAACGTCCAGGGGTCAGAAAGTAAAAGTCCAGCCATATTTTTATTCCACCCACAGCAAAAACTCTTAAATGAACTTTCCTGAGAGTTTTGGATCCAAACTTAAGAGTGTTAAAGTGAATGAGATAATTAAGTGAATAAATGAGTGATGATTGGCCATTATTGAAGACAGCTGATAGTAACAACCAGAATCACTGAAGGAGAACATCTATATTTTATATAGATTTGTTGGCTATAGTTGGGCAGTTGACCTTTAAATGTTTAACTTAAAGGGATACTCCACTTTTTTTGTAAATACGCTCATTTTACAACTCCCCCAGAATTAAACTGTTGAGTTTCACCATTTTTGAATCCATTCAGCCGATCTCCAGTTCTGGCGGTACCACTTTTAGCATAGCTTAGCATACATCATTGAAGTGCACAAGACCAGTTGCATTTCACCCAAAAAAATTACCAATGTGTTTCGATATTTTTCCTATTTAAAACTTGACTCTTCTGTAGTTACATCGTGCACTAAGACGAAGGAAAATGTAAAGTTGCGATTTGCTAGGCTGATATGAGTAGGAACTATATTCTCATTCCTGCGTAATAATCAAGACACTTCACTGCCGTACCATGAGTGCAGCAGGCGCGATGACTACACAAACTTAGTCCAGGTCACGTTAGAAGCCGGGCACTATTTTCAGGCGCTGCGTCATTACGCTTGCTGCACTCATGGTACGACAGTGAAGTTTCCTGATTATTACGCAGGAATGAGAATATAGTTCCTAGTCATATCAGCCTAGAAAATTGCAACTTTACATTTTCCGTCGGTCTTAATGCACGATGTAACTACAGAAGAGTCAAGTTTTAAATAGGAAAAATATCGAAACACTTTGGTAATTCTTTTGGGAGAAATGCTAATGGTCTTGTGCACTTCAATGATGTATGCTAAGCTATGCTAAAAGTGGTACCGCCAGAACCCGAGATCGGCTGAATGGATTCAAAAACGGTAAAACTCAACAGTTTAATTCTGGGGGAGTTGTAAAATGAGCCTATTTCCAAAAACAATGGGAGCATCCCTTTAAGATTGTGTTTGGCTGCTGTAACTGAGTTATAACAGGCAGATGAGCAAAGAGATAAGGTGATCAGATGTAGTCGATCATGTTTAAACATAGTCATCATTTGACCTGAATCACTGAACTCATTTAGAGCCAAGTCTCTGACTTAAATGTGTAATGATCATAACAGCATCACAGTGATTCTACATAGCATTAGATCCAGATTTTTCAATATAGAGATCAAATGATATCTTAAAAGTTGTCCTGATTAAAAGAAATAAAAATCAACCGAGTTATTCGAGTCCCTTTTGCACTGATAAGAAAAAATTAGATACAATCACACTTGCGCGATAGCCGACCCCGGTGGGTTAAGAAATATTTTGGATATTTTAATAACTGAAAATATTACATTGTGTAATCAAAAGGTTAAACTCTACAAATGAGTTTTGTGACAAATGATGATTGTCAATACATAACAAACATCAACTCATAAGCTTTCCATGTTGTTCATCTGGCTGTTGAAACTCAGGTACAGTAGTCAAACAAAAACTAACATTAACAGTTTAAGGATCAAGAGATCCAAATAAAGCAAAGACTGGCCACCATAATGGTGACTTAAAAATGTGACTCAGTGATTCTGCTTGTTAACACCAGGTCTTCAATAATGGTCAATCATCACTCAATTATTCACTTAATTATGTCATTAACTTTAACACTGCTTCAGTCTGGATCCAAATAAAATCCCAGGAAAGTTCAGTTAACACTGGAGTTTTTGAATAAAAATATGGCAGGACTTTTACTTTCTGATTCCTGGACTTTCCACCTCTGATCATGTTGGAACATGTGAGATGATTGACAGCTGTACAGTGAATGAAAGCGCGCTGATATCAAATACTGACGCAAATCAGGAAGAGGAGACACAGACCTTGCTGTGTTCGCTGTTTGAACTCTTCAATCGCATATTTCAGTGAAAAACAGAATAGAACTGTTATTCTGCATCGACAAAATATTTTACATACATGCGATAATTAATCATTATTTCTCTAAATATGATGCTGTATATTCCATGTATGGAAACACAAATAAATCGGGGAACACGTGAAGGCTATTCAAAATAATGAATGTTACAGATTTATTATCCTGCACTCCTGACATAAATTAAGAAATGAATGTCACTGCAAACCAGTTTAATCATAAACAGTGGTCAAATATCGAAGCTGGAATCTTTAATCTTTCTAATGATGCTGCGTTTGTCCACATCAAGTAAATGTGTGATGTTTAAATGAGTAATAAAAGGCAGAACAGCGATAATCTGGGGTCACCGGTGGTCTTTGACGAGTAATGTGGGTTAATTGATGATTTTGGAGTTAATTAATTTTTGGTTCAATTCCATTCATTTCAGCTCTGCATATCTTTGCTTGAAACATGTCAAAATGACATAATTCACCGGCATATAAATAAAGTGTGATTTATTCTATATATTTAAGTTTCTGTTGAAAGCGACATAGATTTTTTATTGTTTCAGTGTTGATTTCGATGTTGGTCTGCTATCAGGGTGTATGCTTAAATTATGTAAAAAATATTTTACCTGGCATTAAGGAACTCTGCAAAGGTTCCTCTGTCTTCGATGGTTCCTCTGTCATTGGAGGTTTCTCTGTCTTTGGAGGTTCCTCTGTCTTTGGAGGTTCCTCTGTCTTTGGAGGTTTCTCTGTCTTTTGAGATTCCTCTGTCTTCAGAGGTTCCTCTGTCATTGGAGGTTCCTCTGTCATTGGAGGTTTCTCTGTCTTTGGAGGTTCCTCTGTCTTTGGAGGTTCCTCTGTCTTTGGAGGTTTCTCTGTCTTTGGAGGTTTCTCTGTCTTTGGAGGTTTCTCTGTCATTGGAGGTTTCTCTGTCTTCAGAGGTTCCTCTGTCATTGGAGGTTCCTCTGTCATTGGATGTTTCTCTGTCTTTGGAGGTTTCTCTGTCTTCAGAGGTTCCTCTGTCATTGGAGGTTTCTCTGTCATTGGAGGTTCCTCTGTCATTGGAGGTTCCTCTGTCTTTGGAGATTCCTCTGTCTTCAGAGGTTCCTCTGTCATTGGAAGTTCCTCTGTCTTTTGAGATTCCTCTGTCTTCAGAGGTTCCTCTGTCATTGGAAGTTCCTCTGTCATTGGATGTTTCTCTGTCTTCAGAGGTTCCTCTGTCATTGGAGGTTTCTCTGTCTTTGGAGGTTTCTCTGTCATTGCAGGTTTCTCTGTCATTGAAGGATCCTCTGTCATTGGAGGTTCCTCTGTCATTGGGGGTTTCTCTGTCTTCGGAGGTTCCTCTGTCAATACAGGTTTCTCTGTCTTTGGAGGTTCTTCTGTCTTCAGAGGTTTCTCTGTCATTGGAGGTTCCTCTGTCTTCTGAGATTCCTCTGTCTGCAGAGATGATAATGAGGGTGTCAGTTACAAACTACATGCCTACAAGACTGATATTCTGCCTAAAATTGCCTTCTGGTAATGGGCTTTGTCTCTTTTTTAAAGGTCAGTAGCTTTGATGCTAAAAGTTGACTGGCTTCTAGATTAAAAGGGTAAGCATTTTCAAGAACAAGTGCCTAAAACAATTAAAAAATAAATTAGGAATCAGTCTTTTTACAAATTAATTACTATGAAAATGTATGTACTACTATGGAGTGAAAACAGTCTCAAAACCTTCCACATATGCACGCGAGACTGAGGGATCATGCGTGCCCACCAATCCACAAATGCTCGTGAGACATCCACACTGTTAATAAGAATTCTGTTAATAAGAACTTTTGCAGATGTATGGCAGAAATTAAGTCAGTGTGGTTTGCAGAGATGGGAGTAAGTCACACATGTTCAAGTCTCAAGTCCCTACCATCAAGCAGAGGTGGAAAGTCCAGGGGTCAGAAAGTAAAAGTCCTGCCATGTTTTTATTCCACCCATGAACTCACACAGCAAAAACTCCAAAAACTTTCCTAAGAGTTCATTTGGCTCCAGACTCAAGAATGTTAGTGTTAAAATGAGTGTTAAATTAACACTCAATAGTGTTAAAGTTAATAAGCTAATTAAGTGATTGATTGAGTTATGATTGACCATTGTTTAAGACACCTGATGTGAAAAAGCAGAATCAACAAAGGAGAAAAATCACATTTTAGTCACCATTATGGTGATCGGTATTTGCTTTAGTTGGGCTCTTGATCCTTAATTTTTACACTAGATTCAGTTTGGCTGCTATGTTTGAGTTATAATTGCCAGATGAACAAAGACAAACATTCTTCAGGTAGTGTTGGTTATGTTTTAATATAATCATCATTTGACCTGAATCACTCAACTCATTTAGAGTCTAATCTCTGACCTAAATGTATACTGGTCATTACAGCATCAAAGAGATTCTACAGCATAATATCCAACGCGTTCTCATCCTTTAACGTCATATAGAACGCTATATGACAAAACGCCGCTATACTACGCACATGGCACCCGTTATCGTTAATATAACACGCGCTGTGAGGGCTAAGTTTAGGTGTGGGGTAGGGTGTGCGTGTCATATTCACGCTAAAGGATTTATAACGTCTTGGGTTCGCGTGTTATATTAACGATAAAGGGTGCCATGTGCGTAGTATAGCGCAGTTTTTGCATATAGCGTTCTATATGACGTTAAAGGATGAGAACGGGCTGTAATATCTATATTATTCAATATAATCCAAATGATTTCTTAAAAGTTGTTCTAAAAAAATAACAAAGCTTTGTTTAAGGCTGTTACGAATAAAGGCGATTACACGAGATTGCGACTTTGGGTGTCTCTGTTTCTTCGTGTTTCTGCCGTGTTACTTTCTCTTTCGCAGAGAAGCGCTGATTGGTTGTCCTGGTTACGGTCATTGGCTGATCTCTGAGGCTTGTCATCAGAGAGGAGGGAAAGAGCGATCCAATCACGGGGATCATCAGGAGATGCGGGAACTATAAAAGGAGCACCTGAACGCGATTGTGTGGCCAGCCTTTTGTTTTGTGAACTGCAACCGTGTGCTGAGTCCTTTGTTACGTTTTTGTTGACATTCGTTTGATTATGGAATTAGTTTGTTTATATTAAGTTTGTCATGTGAATTAGAGTGTCTTAAACCTGAACTCCTTTACTCATTATCTGAACTTGAGTAAAGATGCTTTATTAAAAGTGGGATAAAAGAAAAGGGTCAGGTAAGATGTCACGTGACATACATTTGCGCACATGTAGTTTTTTTCTTTGTTTAAAAACACTAGATTTAGGGACAAGTGCCACTGTTGTATTTTTGTTTTGGTTAGTTAGCGTAGGGAAGTATACGACGTCTCGGACGTTGAAGATCTTTCTTTTCTACATTTAATTTTTTATTAGTTAGGTTAGATTAAATTCGGGTAAGAAAGATTGTTTTCTTTTTATTAATTTCTTTGAGTTGGCACTGTCCAGTTGCCCTTTTCCTTTCCCAGAATTAATACATAATTTGCTGGTATGTTTATGTTACTTTATTGATTGGTTAATATTTGTTTGAATTGTTTCTTCATGAAGATGTGTGATGTACATGCATATTATGGAGAGCTATTATGACCGGTTGTGGCCAGCAATAAAGAAAAAGAAACCTTAAATATTCTACTGCCTTTGTTTCTCTCAGTCACTTCCCAGTGTTTTCTTAGGTAAGTGTCGAGGGATGATTAATGTTCCCCTTCTAAATCCCTAGACGGCTAAAAAAACTAAGAAGGGTCGTAACAAAGGCACACGGAAGACATCAAGATTGAGTGTATGAATCTCAACAATGGTGACAAAAGAATATTCAATTAGGAAAAGGAAATTACTAAGACAATTAAGATCATAATTTATTCATACTGCAATGCATGATGGGGGCCATGAATGATTTTTGATTGGTGGCACCCAGAATGCACTGCAACATGCTTCATTATTGTTACCATTGTTGAGAATCACAGGCTGATTCTTGATGTCTGTGTGTCCAAATAAAATATTTTTTAAGTCTTTTGATTAGAACAACTTTCATTAAATATGGATTAAATTGAAAATACTGAAAATGGTATAGTGTAGAATCACAGGCTGCTGTAATTAACAAGGTAAACCTGGCTCTCTAAATGGGTTCAGTCATTCAGGTCATATGATGATTATGTCAAAACATAACAACACCACCTGATCAGCTTTTCCTGTTGTTTATCCGGCAGTTATAACTCAATTATAGCAGCCAAACTAAATCTAACATTAATAGTTTAAGGATCAAGAGCCCAACTAAAGCAAATACCAATCACCATAATGGTGACTAAAATATTTTTCTCCTTTGTTGATTCTGCTTGTTAACATCAGGTGTCTTCAATAATGCTCAATCATTACTCAATCAATCACTTAATTAGCTCATTAACTTAAACACTATTGAGTGTTAATTTAACACTCATTTTAACAGTTTAACACTCTTGAGTCTGGGGCCAAATGAACTCTAAGGCCTCGTTTACACTGCATGGTTCAAGTGACCCAAATCCGATTTTTTTCCTCTCATGTGGCACAGATCGGATTTGACCGGTGAACGTGTAAGCAGGAAAAAAACGCATGGATTCCGATTTTCTCAGATCGGATTCAGGCCTCATTCATATGTGGTAATAAATCGGATATGAATCAGATACGTGCATTTGCGTGTGCCATGTAAGCAGACAAATCGGATATTCCCCAGTAAATGCGAGTCATGCGTGATTAAAACGTGCGTGATTATAGGCGCGAGCCACGTGGTGTAAGAAAGGATACACACAGTGGAGCAATGCGGAGGTTTCATGTCTTTTGAGTGTTTGGGGTGAAGAGTGCAGGCAAAAATGCAGGGTTGTTACAGAAATAAGTCCGTTTTTGAAGATATTTCACAAGATATGAGGCATCGTTTTAAGTGCTCGTGGCCAGAGCCTCTCCTCTTTTTTTCTCCGCCGTACGAGACCAATGTTGATGACTTATTGAAATATTGTGGAAAGAAAACACTGGATAATTTTATTCGCATCTGCATCCATTGAATTTCGTGCTGTTTTGCTTAATTTCCCGGTTCAGAACCATCAGAACGTCTGCATTTGGTAGTTTCAGCAGTGTATTGTGTGAATGCAAAAATCAGATATGGGTCACTTTTAAAAGATGATTTAAGCAGGTCGTCCAAAAAATCGAATATAGTCAGAAAATCGGATTTGGGCATCAAGACCTGCAGTGTAAATGCAGCCTAAGGAAAGTTAATTTAAAAATGTAGTTTTTGCTGTGTGAGTTCATGGCTGGAATAAAAATATGGCAGGACTTTTACTTTCTGACCCCTGGACTTTCCACCTCTGCTTTCTGTAAATGAGAAAAATTTTAAGGATGACTCGAAGTTTATGTGAGGATTACATTTTCCCATCTAATTTGCATAATATGATGTAATATGGTGGCAGCATTCTTGCATTATAGAATTTTCATGAAAGGTCACATGTTTAAATGATAAAATGTAGCACTTCTTTATTAAACTCATATATTACTCACACTGTGACTATCACAAAGACTGATGTGATGTCACTGTGATTATCACATGATCTCACGTGTTGACTGGGGAGCATCCTGTTCTTTTCCATATCTTTAATTTACTTTTTGTTTGTTTGTTTTGTTATACATTTTCTTCTCTTGTTATTTGCTCCCAAACCTTGGACTGAGAGTAATGTACCAGTTATAAAACAACTCGCATTGAAAGCACAGGTATAAATTGCACAGGATGCCAGACCAGATCTCTTACCTTCACAGTTGATTGTGTCTGTGATTCTCCATTCTGTTGTGGTCCATTAATTCCGGTTCCTGCTCCTTCTGCCGGTAATCCTCCGATTACTTCTGCCTTTACTAGTACTACTGCTCCTCCAGATGCTGCCACTGTTGCTTCAGATGCTAGTGATCCTGAAGCTGCTGATCCTGGTGCTGGTGACTCTACAACTGCAACTGTCAGTGTTATTGTTACTGTTAGTGGTGATCGTAGAGTTGCCCGTTCGTCTCCTGCTGCTTCTCCAGGCTCTGCTATATTAAAGAAGAATTGTCTTCATGAAATGTCATCATCACAGAAATATAAACATCTTAAAATATACTCAATAATGTGTATAGGATATTGATGTTATCCATTTATAATTGGCATTTCTTACCCATGTTGCTTGATTTTAATTTACCAGGATGACACAGATCTTCCCAGAAGCACCTTTGTCAGGTTTAAAGCTCCTTTCCCCCTCTTTATTCCCAAGCACTTTACCCTCCTTTAAAGAAACAAATGTTAAAATACAGGTGACTTGAAGATAGCATGATGACATTGATACAACATTGGCTCAGCGTTGATGCATCAACGCTATTTGCATTGAATTAACATTACAAAGTGATGTTGCTTTATCACTCTTGCACCTGTAGGTTCTGGCCCCATTAGAAACTAATTATTCATTATATAATTAGTTTATGAAACATCACAATTAACATTGTGCTGTAAAATTGGCCGTTGTGCTCTTGCTATTCTCCTCCAGCCAGTGGGCAAGTCACCTGTTGCAGCCGATGATTTTTTTTTAGATCGGGTTAATTTCAGTACCGTATCGCAGGCTGTCATCTCCTGTCTTAACTCCAACAACATTGATTTCAATGATGTATGGGCTTTTCTCACAGATTCTGCAAGTTATATGAAAAAAAGCATATAACACGATTCTCTATGGCCTCTTTCCCAATGCTGAACATGTCACCTGTCTTGCACATCTTCTGCAGTTAGTTTTAGCAGTGTTTCCAGACACATTTGAAGAACTGAACCGGATGTGTGGTTTGGTAAAGCGTGTTTTCTACCAGTCACCCCAGCGTCGTCTTAAATTGAGGGCCGTCATGATGCAGCAAGGACTGTCTCCTCTCATGCCAGTGTTTTCTGTCCAGACAAGATGGGGTTCCTGGATAAAAGCTGTGCAGAAAACATTGATATTTTGCACGGCTTCTTCCAAACGCTTCCACGGTCCTTCAAGGCTGTGTGGGATCTTAGAGTTGTGTTAGAGGAGAATGGAAAACTCCTGAAAATCCAGGCCACCTTCATCGTTGAGCACAGCTCTGATATACTTGCCACCCTGGTCAAGCTTGAAGAAACCTCCAGACCCGTGGCTGCCACCATCTTCAGTCATGCTGAGGACCTCAGCATGCTATTTGAGTATGAACGCACCGCAGAGGCTGAGGACTGGCGTTCACGCACCAGAGAGCAGATGAAGGAGTTCAATGACGATGAGCGGTACACTTGTTCAGAGCTGTTTAAAGAAGCAATGGCACAATGTTCTACCAAGCTTCAGGCTGTGATGGAGAGACATCCTTGCACTGAACTATTTAAAGCCCTACCAATCTTTGATCCAGCCAAGGTATCTGGTTTAAAACCTGATATTAAGAATTATGTCCAAGTTGTCCCTGCTTTGAGCAAGGTATCTGCAGAGGAGTGGCATCTCTACATCTGCATGGACAAGAGTGATGCAGGTGAGGTTAGTGCAGTGGAGTGGTGGGCTGCAAGGGAAGATCGAATGCCAACACTTGCCCCACTGGCTGCACTCTACCTGCATCTCCCCACTACTTCAGTGGATGTGGAGAGACTGTTTTCCCACTATTCTTCATTTCTAGCACAGCCTATTGATAGTGCTGAATTGATCATTTAAATAAGCCAAGTGAAGCATTAAAATGATATTGAATAATACAAATATTGAACATATTCAATATAAAACAGAACCTAAAAAAAATATTTGTTTGTCACTTCTCACAAATGTGTAATTCACACACATATAGTTATATATTACATTAAAAATAAAACCCTTGCATTCAGGAAGTAACCTACATTTTCATTAAAATGGTCATGCGTCAATTTTATATTTTACAAAGAGACCTCTAATGTCACTTCAGGACGGTGTGGATCATGTTTATTAATGATTTCACTCATTTAACATTTTTAACTGGCTAACACTCTAATTGTGATGAAGTCAAATTTGACTAACCTGAAGTGAATCTGGACTCCAAACAGTAAACGAAGGTTCTCTGCTGAATATCATACAACAGTAGGGTCTTGAATCCTTAAATCACACGAGTGATGAATAAGCCATATAACCGCTTGTGTTATTCTGCTACAGTACAAGTCTGTGTCTTAAATACTCCATTAGTGAAAGTGAAAGTTACCCATACTTGGAATTCTGAATTTAAGAGGGAGTTCTTGGGGGTTTTTGGGGGGTTATTTTCCTGCCGGGCCTGGAATCGAACCAGCAAACTTTTGTCACCAGTCCAACTCACTATCCATTAGGGCATTCCAGTCCACTTTTAGACACACATTTGCAAACTTCCTTAAGCACTTCCCCACTGGACAAGAAATGAAAGAGGGAAGTTTATATAGACAGACAACAAATTATCTGTAGTGTTTATAATTTATAATAGTTTATTAATACAGTTGGGGACATTATTTTCTACAATATTATTGATCTGGCTTATTTAAGGTGGTCGTTGATGCAATTTTCTTCTAGAAACTTCTAGAATCACTGTGAAGCTGCTTTGATACAATCTGTATTGTAAAAAGCACTATATAAATAATGTGACTTGACTTGATATTGACTCGCCGTGTGTATGATCTGAGAGCATTGTTTGATATTGAGCACAGATAGAGTCAGAGTTTCTCTGAATGTGGTTTGAAAATTTGGTTTTACAGTTTAAAGGGTTAGTTCACCCAAAAATGAAAATTAAGTCATTAATTACTCACCCCCATGCTGTTCCAACCCCGTAAGACCTTAGTTCATCTTCGGAACACAAATAAAGATATTTTTGATTGAATCTGAGAGCTGGATCACCCTTCCATTGGCTTCCTAAGGGACTTGACGGCCCACAAAGTCATTAAAGAAAAGGTTTAAATATTCCATGTGCCTACAGCGGCTCAATTATAAGGTTATCAAGCGACGAGACTACTTTTTGTGCGAAAAAAACATAAATAACGACTTAATTCGACTATTCCATTACTTCCTTATGGGCGCATGCATACTGAATAATATATATATATATATATATATATATATATATTACATTCTTGATAGTATATATTACAGAATGTACAGAATGTAATATATTTCTCTTCACCTCAGTTGAAGAGGGCAAAATTAGTGACTACCCCCACTGCACATCCAACATCCAAACTTCTCTTGTAACACTTTACAGTTTCTCTAAAATCATGTGACTTTCACAAGGCTATTTTCAAATGGGCACAGCTGTCGCTGTCGCTCCTCAGCTGTCCTTGTGTAGCAGAGGAGTAAACAACTCAAGAGACAGTCACAGCATTAAGGTTACAAGATTCAGTTCTCAAAGGTCTCATGAACAAATTATTATCTAAGAAGAAAAGGTTCAAAAATGAACCTTTTGAGGTTCCTGGAACTTGCAACTGTGGGGGAACCTTGAACTTCTTAGACTTAAGGCCATTGCACACTGAGCACGAAATATTCGTATGCGTATTTTCGTGTTCGTCAGCCTCAAAATTCGTCACGCATAGAAACCTTGCACACTGAGTCCGTTGCGTATTTCTTAAACCTTTGCGGGAAAAAACGCAAAAATACCAAATGGATTCGTCAAGCATTGAGGATGATTTTTGCCCTCCCTCTTATTGAAAAGAGAAGAAAGAGAAAATATTATGTCCATCCAATCCTGAAATTGCGCCGAGAGGAAGGAGAGTTCCTTATCAAGGAGTTGCGAATTTATCCTGAGCGATTCAAAATTTACCTCAGAATGTCAGTGGGACAGTTCGATGCTTTGCTAGCGATTCTGGAGCCACATATTAAAAACAAGACCACCAATTTCCGTGAACCAATCGATTCTGAACGGAGACTGGCAGTGTGTCTGGTATGGACCAGGTGTGGACACACCCGCGCGCGGCCCGTTGGAAGCGCTGGGCAGACAGAACAGCTAGGCTGTTATGTATATTGTGCCCAAATAATACATTAGTTATCGAATAGGCTGCTCAATCACACCTTATTCGATCCTAAATTTCAATCTGATTGAAAGGGGAGGTTTATTAATTTCATAATCCAATATAGAGAAGAGAACATAAACACTTGATCGAATTGAAAACCGAAACTGAAAGCACGGCGCATATGTGCACGAGCTCCCCCCGGCCCTAAATTGTCAAAAGACCTCTCAAAATGCTGGCTCTGGATGCGAAAAACGCAGAAAATCGAACCCGATCCGATTAATTTTATGACGGACGAAAGTTTCGGAGGCGGTGTGCAAGCGTGGCTGACATAACATGAGGTCGAATTTTTTTTTTAACGTGCGAAAATTTCGGATGCGAATTTCGGACTCGGTGTGCAATGGCCTTTAGACTTAGAAAACTTTAATGTCCCGAAAGGCAATTTGTTGTGCTCCCGACAGCTCTGATGAGGAATACCTTCCAACAATTTCATTGCGGTGAGTCATTATCTATTACTTCTTTTTACTTTGTTTATGTGCTGAGTTTTTACATGTAAAAAATGTTTAGGGCTATTTTGGAATGTTTTTGAATTCTTTCAGTTCACACTGATGTCTCAGGAAATAAATTTGATCATGGTTATATGCCGGAAAAACTTGGAAATAATTCAATTGAACTGTGTATGATCCCTGAAGTTCTTCTCTTCCAGAATGGGTGGTGCACTGAAGGGAGCACAGGTAATTGACAATCTGCCAACTATTGGGATTGATGAGACTGTGCATGATCTGCCTGCCCCTGAAGTCCCTCTCGATGAGCCCTTGAGTCTCGAGCTGCCGATTTTGCCAGGCCCTCAGAAGGTCCTCAGAGACGATGACATTATTGGCGTTAGAGCAGCTGTGCTCTATGAGAACTGCTTGAGGCAGCTTGTCACATTTTTAACTCTTCCCGTGAACAGATGCACTGGTGTCTTGAGGACTGGTTTAGTGTGTGACAGTGTTGCCCCATTTGCAACAAACATCGGCATCAGGGGCACTGCAATGAGTGTTGAATGGGTAACATCACATCAAAATGTATCGTAACAAATGGCACTGTTCATGCCTTATGAATTTTACAACGCTACCCTTATCTTACCAGATCTGCCCCAATGGACATTGCCTATGGCGGTGGAATTCACAGCCTGTGTTGAAGTTTGGCATGCAGGCTGGGGACTTTCTTCTTTCCACTAACATTTTACTTTCTGGAAACAACTACACTAAAGTTGCTCTCCTATTTAAATTCATGAACATACAAATGGTAAACACCAACACACACTACACCATCCAGGACACCTACTGTGTTGACACTATTAAAGATTTTTGGGAAGAGAAGAGGTCTGAGTCCATCAGCCGACTAAAAGGGATTGATGTTGTGCTCCTAGGTGGGTAATTATATATTTGAACTTGTTCTCCATTAATTGTTATGGTATTAAACAATTAAACTACTTTTGCAATCATCTTATCATACAGGTTTAGTATTTTGAAATTACCTGTATTTCCTTTTTCTTTAGGTGATGGCAGAAATGACTCACCAGGGCATTCTGCCCAATACTGTAGCTACACAACCATGGAGCTTGACTCTTAAGGAAATCATCCATGTGGCCACTATAGACAAGCGGCAGACCAACTGGAACTCCAACATCATGGAGAAGGAGGGTTTTATCCAGACAGTGGACAAGCTTACGCAAGAGATCAAGGTAGTGGAGTTCTGCACGGATGCTCATGTCCAGATTGGAGCCCTTTTGAGTAAGTGGTCAAATAATAAAACATTTGAATAGAAATATTGAATTGCTGATTGAGAAATGATTCTATACTTCAAAGACCCAGATAAAGGAAGATATAAGGATCTGAAAATTCACCACAGCCTGGACATGTGGCATGGTGCCAAAAATTTGTGCAAAAAAATAGCAACCGTAAGTTCTAATACATCTAATTTCATTTGTAAAGAATTGTACCTTCCTGCATGTCGGTGTAATAATTTTGTTATGTTAGGTCTCCATCAAAATATTTACAAGGACTAACTTCCATTGTCTCTGTTTTGTTAATTACCATAAGGCGGGAAAGGTGAAAGGACAATCTATTCTCCTTCACTGGCTGAGGGATATAGTTAACCACTTCTGGTGGTGCTGCAAGACGGCAGAAACATTTGAGCAGTTTCTTGTAAGCAGGAAGAATGTTATAATATAAATAAATGATAATAATGCAATGATTCAAAAACCTGTGATATGATAATGTTTTTGTTTAATTGTTTTACTTTCCTCAGGCACTTTGGATTGGAGTTGTGCATCATGTTTGCAACAATCACACCTGGGAAACAGGAAGCTGCCAACACGACCACCTTGAAGACACTCAGGATAAAGAGTGGATTGAGAGAGATTCAAAGAGCCATAAAGCGCTTGTGGAGATCGTCCTCAACAAGCGTTGGCAGAAGGATGTCCACAAGTATCTGCGCTTCAGGTAAAGCGTGGAGACATGACATTTTAAAAGAAATCTAAATGATACGTAAGTCATGTGTGGGTGTGTTTTTTTTTTAAGAGTCTAAATCTATTTTTTAATTTGTCCAGATCGACAGCACATCTCGAGTCTTTTCAGAATCCAGCAAGCGCCAGGCCTTCACTCCCCGAGTGTATGACACGAGAGTTGTGCTCGCAGCCCTGGACTACAATTTCCACCGGGAACGACCGGCATACAGGACGGCTGAGGGCCAACAACTAACCAGACTGACTTTATTTCTGTCAGATTTCTACAGAAGATTTTATTGAGAATTAACAGAGGTTTAACTCGTACTAGGTTACCATTATGGAGATCAGTGTTTGCTTTAGTTGGGCTCTTGAGCCTTACATGATTAACTTCAGATCTTTCTTTGGTTGCTGTACCTGAGTTACAACAGACAGATGAACTGTTTTTGAAAATCATAATATTTGTACCTGTTACAATGTACTTCAAATCTTTTCTTAAAATGTAATCACATACAAAGTTTTTTTTATTATTATTATTTTTTAAGACATCGAGAATCAGCCTGTTGATCTCAATAATGGTGACAAATATATATAAAATGGTGACAATTAAGTGATTAATTGAGTGATGATTGAGCACTATTGAAGACACCCGATGATAACAAGCAGAATCACTGAAGGAGAAACCCGGAATTTCAGGTTACCATTATGGAGATCAGTGTTTGCTTTAGTTGGGCTCTTGACCCTTATATTATAAACTTTAGATTTAGATTTAGAGTTAAAACAGTCAGATGAACAAAGAAAAAAAAACATACAAATTAATAGTTTTGGTTATATTGTGAATATCGTCATTTGAATTTAGTATTTGTGATTTATTTAGTTGGATACAGCATAACTGAGATGCATAAATACCCAGAATTTGAGATTTAATGTGAAGGATTTCTTAAAAGTTGTAAAAAAAAAATCTTTATTGAAGGCACACACAGAGCTCAAGATTCAGTCAATGCTTCTCAACAACGGTGACGAGCAGAATATTCAATTAGGAAAAGTAAATTACATAGACATTTCAGATCATAATTTATTCATACCGCAATGCATGATGGGAGCCATTAATGAGTTGTGATTGGTGGCAACAAGGATTATGTGGTTACCACAGTTGAGATACACAGGCTGATTATTGATGTCTGTGTTTCTAAATAAATGCATTGGAAAGTGATTTGATCAGAATAATTTTTATTAAATATTTTGGACTATAAGAAAAATATTGATAATCATATGTTTTAGAACCACTAAAATGTTGCTAACAAGTTAAACCAAATTATCTGAAAAGTTTCATTTTACAGATCACAGATTATGCCAAAACATAACCAACACTATCAGATCACACTTTTCTTTGTTCATTTGACTGTTATAAATCAATAACAGCAGACAAACAAAGTTTAAAGTTAAAGTAAAACTATCAAGAGCCCAACTAAAGCAAACACTGATCTCCATAACGGTGGCTTACAATTTGTGATTTTCTCCTTCAGTGATTCTGCTTGTTATCATCAGGTGTCTTCAATAATGCTCAGTCAACACTAAATTAAACACTTAATTATCTCATTAACTTTAACACTCTAGAATGTTAATTTTACACTCGTATCGTCCATCTGAAAGCAGGTGAAGGAGATTTACTACGTATCAAGGAACTGGCTTTACTGATGAGATTCGCATGACAATATCACGCGATACATCGCCCAGCCCTAGTTACAGGTTTTGTTTTTGAAAATAATTTGTCAAAATAATTATTAAATTCAAATACCACAGTGTATCAGGCTTTATCATGATGATTATAAAACCATCACAAGATAATCTTCATCACCTGATCCCGTTCAACTTTGTTACTGTAAATGTGTTTGACAAACACACTGTCACAGCAGTCAGAAGAGATTAAATATATAAGAGTAAAGAGCCTGTCTAATGGAAACACTAATCACTGTTATGGTGACTTCAAATGAAACTGAGTTAAACCTCTGTTAAGTAAGGGTTAATGCCCGACGAGGTGTCCATTGTCAGGTTTTAATGGACGACGGCGAGGCGTAAACCGGCCGACGCGCAGCGGAGGACGGTTGCCTCCGCCGAAGTAAACATTTTTAAAACATTAGTTTATATTTTAATTAGGCTAAATCTAGTTTTTACAAATAATAACTTGCCTTGCCTGACTGTTTATTTAGCAACCGGAGATATTTATAGTCCGCTTAGCTCGTATCCCTTCAGGTTCACAAATGTATTTTTTTTTTTCATGAAACACAAAAGGTAGGCATAGTTTTTTTTTTTATTACACATAAAACAATTAATCAAACAACAATAAAAAAACAATTAGCTCTGAGCTCCAGCGATTTGCGCTTAACGTTATAGAGGGCAATAAATTAATCAGATCAAAGAGAGGGTCATTTGCCTCAGGCTCCTTAGGCTTGAAACGCTGTAACGTTCAGCCTTCTCCTGCCTTGGTTGTCTGGACAGCTGCGTAAAACTCCCACAGGGTCTCATTCAGGGGTGCGTTTCCCGAAAGCATCGTTATCCAACTATGGTCGCAAGTTACGTCGTTACCAATAGAGTTCAATGGAGCAGCGCAGCAGCGGTGTAATTTCCTCCGTTTTATTTACATTTTTTCTTTCTTCAGCAGCATACCAGTCGTCAAAGTTGCCATATTCTCCATAAATGTTAAAAGAAATAGCACGAAGTCGCTCATTGTTGTATTAGGCTATAATATCTAACGTTAGATGATAGAGCATGTGACTGCCTGTTGCTATGGTTACTCACAGCCGTTGTGGGCAGCGCATTTATTTATTCATTTCGAATGGTAAACAGGCAGTTTCACCAGAACTACTTTACTAGGTGTCCTCTATCACTTTTTAACGGACACCCTGCAGCCAATCAGAATTGAGTATTCACCCAGACCATGGTATAATTCTCAATAAAATCTTCTGTAGAAGTCTGACAGAAATAAAGTCAGTCTGGTTAGTAATAAGTGAAGCTGGTAATGCTGTTTGTGGAGTTGTTTAATCCTCCTCTGCTGAGATCTTCAGATTTAATGTCTTCCCTTCAGGTGATTTCATCTAGACTGTGTCATCTCTTTTCAGGGAGGCAGATGCGAATAAATTGAATAAATTGATTCATAAAGCTGGTAATGTGGTGGGGGTTAAGTTTGACTCATTATCGGTGGTGTCAGAGAGGAGGATGCTGTCCAAACTAAAAGTCATCTTGAATAATGTCTCCCATCCACTCTATGATCTGGTACTCAAACAGAGGAGCACTTTCAGTGCTAGACTTATTCTACCGAAATGCACCACTGAGCGCCACAGGAAGTCATTTCTGACAGTGGCCATCAAGCTGTATAACTCTTCGTTAGGAAAATTACTTAGTGAGTTTTTAAATTGTTTATATTTGGTTGCTGTACAAAATTATCTGTTTAATATGAGTTGTTTCAAACTAATGTGTATTATTCTAGTGGTTATTTATTTCATTGTTCATTGGAATATTACATTTTATGAATATGTTTTATTATTACTTATCCATATTACGGAATGTTTTATAATTTTTATAGTTGTTTATTATATATGTGGGCAACCGTGACAAAGAATTTCCCCTTGGGGATTAATAAAGTATTACTTACTTACTTACTTTTCTGTTCTCTTTAGAGGAGTAAAGTCCAGGTTCAGAAAGTAAAAGTCCGCCTCAGTATTTTGTTCCAATCACCTGGATTTGCTTATTAGCAGTTTTTCAGTCAGGAGATAGAAATCAGCCCTAATCAACTGTCAATCCGTTCATGGCTGGAAGTAAGACATGGCAGAATTTCTACTTTCTACTTCTACTTTATACAACTCTGATTCTCAGAACAAGTTCTCACTGTCTTTGGGACTCATAAAGTTTGTCTCAGTTTCAGAAACAAATTTGATAGTCCCTTGAACATTTGTGTTATTATGTGATTTCAGTTCCATTTTCAGAATGAAAGGTTAACTGTATGGCATGTTAGAGTAGGTTTAGAGTTGACAAATCCAGCCTGGTTTATGTAGTGTTTTGAATTTTGTTATTGTTCCAGCAAACTTTGAATTAATTTCTGATGTTTTTTTTTTTATTTCTTTGCATATATTGCTGTTCATTCTCTGTATAAAATATGGAAAAAATGTTTTTGTTTTAAAATAATGTAATGAGTTGTATAGCTAAGTGACGTCATTTCCACTTGTGTCGTCCAATCGCGTCTCGCTAAAAAGGTTAGAACAGCTTTGGATTTGAGCTAGACAGGTATGTGTAAATGAGCTCCGAAGTAAAGTGTCAATATATAATACATTAAGTTGAAATTTTGATCAATACCAGTGGATGACATGTTTTAATGCCAAGTTAAGTCATGTAATATGCTTGGATGTCGTTATTTTTGTGTATAATCCAAGTTTTGTGTTAATGAGGCCTTATTCCGTTGTTTCAAATTGCCGCCCGCGCGCTATTTTGAACGGCGGGTTTATACAGTTGTATAATTCTTAAAATATAGTTAAAAAGGGTAGATTACGTTTCTATAATATCATACAGTTATACATGTCAATGTATATCGTCTTTATTCGTCGAAAAATGTGTATTTTGTAGTTAATTGTGTAATTGAACTAGTGATGGCAGATGGTGTTAAAGTTCACCCAAAAATGAAAATTCTATCATCGTTTACTCACCCTCAAGTAGTTCTAAACCTCTTATGTGTTTATTTTTTCTGCTGAACAGAAAAGAAAGATATTTGGAAGAATGTTTTAATCAAACATATCTCAATCCCCATTGACTACCATAGTATCTTACTTTTTTGATGCGCATCGAGGAATTTATTCGGTAAATTAATTTCCATCGTTTTTATGTTTTCTTATCAGATAAAACAATTTTAGAGCATAAGTTTTTTTTTTTATGTGCATTTTTAGAATTTATGTGCATCTTGCTGTTTCCATCCAGCGGGTTTTATATGCAATGTCCAAAAATGCACATAGAAATTGGTGGATGGAAATATAGCTACTGATCAAGCTATAGAAATGGTGTTTTACTCCTTTAACCCTCAGGTGCTCTTCGTTTCGGAGTCACACTTGTTATCTTCCCGGTCAAAAGTGACCGGACACCTAAAAATTAAATTTCCTCCATTCCAGTAAAACCAATGCAATTTATTTTTGTTCTATAATATTAATTCTTTGTAATTTAGTGTTTGGAGACAATGTGATTGAATTTATTAATATTTATGCAATATTTATTGTCTATTTTTGCCATGGAAATATATATATATTTATACAAAGTATATATATATATATATATATATATATATATATTAGTTTTCCCAAAAAATATTAATGCAGTATTTTAGTTTTATATAGTGTCTAGGCCTTCAGAAAAAAAAATTTTTTTTGAAGAAAATTAGCACCATCTGGTTACAGTATAGAGAAAAGGTGTAGAATCATGGTGTAACCACTAGATGGCATGTACAGCTCTCTATAGAGAAGCATGTGAATTCCCCAGATGTTTATGAACACATTTTTTTTGGTGGATTTGTATATATAGTTGAAACAATCTCAAAAACGAATTTTATTTTTATTAAATAAATGTAAAAAAAAAAAAAGTGAATTTTTGTGTTTTTGTCAATTT